CAGAATAAGATAGATAGATAGATAGATAGATAGATAGATAGATAGATAGATAGATAGATGAGATAGAAATAGATGAGATAGATAGATAGATAAGATAGATAGATAGATATGAACAGACATAGATAGATAGATAGAATGAACAGACAGATAGAAAAGAAACAGAATAAGATAGATAGAATAGATAGATAGATAGATAGATAGATAGATAGATAGATAGATATGAACAAAGTGAGATAGATAGATAGATAGATAGATAGATAGATAGATATGAACAGACATAGATAGATAGAAACAGAATAAGATAGATAGATAGATAGATAGATAGATAGATAGATATGAACAGACATAGATAGATAGAAACAGAATAAGATAGATAGATAGATAGATAGACAGACATAGATGAACAGAATAAGACATAGATAGATAGATAAACATGAACAATAAGATAGAATAGAATAGATAGATAGATAGATAGATAGATAGATAGATAGATATGAACAGAGAGAGATAGAGATAGATAGAAGATAGATGAATAGATAGATATGAACAAAGATGAAATAGATAGATAGATATGGAATAGATAGATAGATAGATATGAACAGAGATAGATAGATAGAAACAGAGTGAGATAGATAGATAGATAGATAGATAGATAGATAGATAGATATGAACAAAGAGATAGATAGATAGATAGATAGATAGAGATAGATGAACAGATAGATAGATAGATAAGATAGACAGATAGATAGATGAACAAATATGAAATAGATAGATAGAATAAGATAGAAATAGATAGATAGATAGATAGATATGAACAGATATAGATGATAGATAGAGAAAGATAGAAGATAGATAGATAGATAGATAGATAGATAAATAGATAGATAGATAGATAGATAGATGAACAGACAGATAGATAGATAAGATAGATAGATAGAATAGATCTAGATAGATGGATAGACTGGAGAGACTATTTTTGATAAATCGACGCCTCCTACTGAATGTATAGTTGAAGATAATGGAAATACATTTTAAAATGTCCGGTCAATATATTCCGGAGAATTGGTCAGGAATGTCTTGAAATGATGAATAATTTGGTACTGCAAAAACGGAGCGACAGAATGGTAAGAACATAGGCGTGAACAACAATATATATTTTGAAGTAAGAATAATATAATAATAGAATCGATAACACTTCACATGCAGACTTCCTTTCACTTAATAGATTTTCAGAAGATTCCTACTTCACGCGTGGATTTCGTAAAACAATTTTATGCAAGATATTTATTTGAGCAGGTGTGTGTTTCTTTCTTTCTTCCTTCTCAAATGATCACTTTTTTTTCTTGCGTCTAAATAGATTTTCGTTTTATTTATTTTGTTTATTTGTTTTTCTTTCAAACATTTTATCTATAAATGAAATAATAAGGCCGTCGAGTAAATGGAGTAAACACGAAAGCATCTGACATTTTTTTTCTGTTCGAAAACAAATAAAGAAAAAACCTGATGAACACTCTACAGAGTTTTGTAATAAAAAGCGCCGAAATAGATCCATGGTGCGTAGTTAGTCCGTTAGGTCTGAAAAATCATCCCGGAATAAATTTAGATCCGTTTTATCCTTATTCTTTGTACTGTAATATGAATTGTGTTAGGGTCGCACGAAATAAATCACTTGTATTCATATTTGAATGTAGCGTTGCAGTGAGGATTTCAGTATCTGTCTATATTTCTGAGATGAGGTATTATGCACACTATTTACAGTATTTGGACTATTGTCCTCATCTTTGTCGCCATAGTTATTACAACGTTTCGGCCTTTCAGTATCTGTCTATATTTCTGAGATGAGGTATTTTGTACACTATTTACATTATTCAGACTATTGTTCTCATCTTTGTAGCCATATTTATTACAACGTTTCGGCCTTTCAGTATCTGTCTATATTTCTGAGATGAGGTATTTTGTACACTATTTACATTATTCGGACTATTGACCTCATCTTTGTTACCATATTTATTACAACGTTTCGGCCTTTCAGTATCTGTCTATATTTCTGAGATGAGGTATTTTGTACACTATTTACATTATTCGGACTATTGACCTCATCTTTGTTACCATATTTATTACAACGTTTCGGCCTTTCAGTATCTGTCTATATTTCTGAGATGAGGTATTATGTACACTATTTACAGTATTTGGACTATTGTCCTCATCTTTGTCGCCATATTTATTACAACGTTTCGGCCTTTCAGTATCTGTCTATATTTCTGAGATGAGGTATTATGCACACTATTTACAGTATTCGGACTATTGTCCTCATCTTTGTTACCATATTTATTACAACGTTTCGGCCTTTCAGTATCTGTCTATATTTCTGAGATGAGGTATTTTGTACACTATTTACATTATTCAGATTATTGTTCTCATCTTTGTAGCCATATTTATTACAACGTTTCGGCCTTTCAGTATCTGTCGATATTTCTGAGTTGAGGTATTATGTACACTATTTACATTATTCGGACTATTGTCCACATCTTTGTTACCATATTTATTACAACGTTTCGGCCTTTCAGTATCTGTCTATATTTCTGAGATGAGGTATTTTGTACACTATTTACATTATTCAGACTATTTTTTCTCATCTTTGTAGCCATATTTATTACAACGTTTCGGCCTTTCAGTATCTGTCTATATTTCTGAGATGAGGTATTTTGTACACTATTTACATTATTCAGACTATTGTTCTCATCTTTGTAGCCATATTTATTACAACGTTTCGGCCTTTCAGTATCTGTCTATATTTCTGAGATGAGGTTTTTTTGTACACTATTTACATTATTCAGACTATTGTCCTCATCTTTGTTGCCATATTTATTACAACGTTTCGGCCTTTCAGTATCTGTCTATATTTCTGAGATGAGGTATTTTGTACACTATTTACATTATTCAGACTACTGTCCTCATCTTTGTAACCATATTTATTACAACGTTTCGGCCTTTCAGTATCTGTCTATATTTCTGAGATGAGGTATTTTGTACACTATTTACATTATTCAGACTACTGTTCTCATCTTTGTAGCCATATTTATTACAACGTTTCGGCCTTTCAGTATCTGTCTATATTTCTGAGTTGAGGTATTATGTACACTATTTACATTATTCAGACTATTGTTCTCATCTTTGTAGCCATATTTATTACAACGTTTCGGCCTTTCAGTATCTGTCGATATTTCTGAGTTGAGGTATTATGTACACTATTTACATTATTCGGACTATTGTCCACATCTTTGTTACCATATTTATTACAACGTTTCGGCCTTTCAGTATCTGTCTATATTTCTGAGATGAGGTATTTTGTACACTATTTACATTATTCAGACTATTTTTTCTCATCTTTGTAACCATATTTATTACAACGTTTCGGCCTTTCAGTATCTGTCTATATTTCTGAGATGAGGTATTTTGTACACTATTTACATTATTCAGACTATTGTTCTCATCTTTGTTGCCATATTTATTACAACGTTTCGGCCTTTCAGTATCTGTCTATATTTCTGAGATGAGGTATTTTGTACACTATTTACATTATTCGGACTATTGTCCTCATCTTTGTCGCCATATTTATTACAACGTTTCGGCCTTTCAGTATCTGTCTATATTTCTGAGATGAGGTATTTTGTACACTATTTACATTATTCAGACTATTGTTCTCATCTTTGTAGCCATATTTATTACAACGTTTCGGCCTTTCAGTATCTGTCTATATTTCTGAGATGAGGTATTTTGTACACTATTTACATTATTCAGACTATTTTTTCTCATCTTTGTAACCATATTTATTACAACGTTTCGGCCTTTCAGTATCTGTCTATATTTCTGAGATGAGGTATTTTGTACACTATTTACATTATTTGGACTATTGTTCTCATTTCAGTATCATTATTCAGATGAGGTATTTTTTTTCATGGACTTTGTCCTCAACCATATTTATTACAACGTTTCGGCCTTTCAGTATCTGTCTATATTTCTGAGATGAGGTATTTTGTACACTATTTACATTATTCAGACTATTGTTCTCATCTTTGTTGCCATATTTATTACAACGTTTCGGCCTTTCAGTATCTGTCTATATTTCTGAGATGATTTATTTTGTACACTTTGTAGCCATATTTTTACATTATTCGGACTATTGTCCTCATCTTTGTCGCCATATTTATTACAACGTTTCGGCCTTTCAGTATCTGTCTATATTTCTGAGATGAGGTATTTTGTACACTATTTACATTATTCAGACAATTGTTCTCATCTTTGTAGCCATATTTATTACAACGTTTCGGCCTTTCAGTATCTGTCTATATTTCTGAGATGAGGTTTTTTTGTACACTATTTACATTATTCAGACTATTTTTCTCATCTTTGTAACCATATTTATTACAACGTTTCGGCCTTTCAGTATCTGTCTATATTTCTGAGATGAGGTATTTTGTACACTATTTACATTACACTATTTTTACAACGTTTCGGCCATTATTCAGACTATTTTTTTTTCTCATCTTTGTAACCATATTTATTACAACGTTTCGGCCTTTCAGTATCTGTCTATATTTCTGAGATGAGGTATTTTGTACACTATTTACATTATTCGGACTATTGTCCTCATCTTTGTTGCCATATTTATTACAACGTTTCGGCCTTTCAGTATCTGTCTATATTTCTGAGATGAGGTATTTTGTACACTATTTACATTATTCAGACTATTTTTCTCATCTTTGTAACCATATTTATTACAACGTTTCGGCCTTTCAGTATCTGTCTATATTTCTGAGATGAGGTATTTTGTACACTATTTACATTATTCAGACTATTGTTCTCATCTTTGTAGCCATATTTATTACAACGTTTCGGCTGTCTATATTTCTGAGATGAGGTATCTGTCGATTTATTTTGAGTTGATCTTTGTCGCCATATTTATTACAACGTTTATTTTACATCTATATTTTGAGGACTATTGTGTACACTATTTCAGTATTTGTTACCATATTTATTACAACGTTTCGGCCTTTCAGTATCTGTCTATATTTCTGAGATGAGGTATTTTGTACACTATTTACATTATTCAGACTATTGTTCTCATCTTTGTAGCCATATTTATTACAACGTTTCGGCCTTTCAGTATCTGTCTATATTTCTGAGACGAGGTATTTTGTACACTATTTACATTATTCAGACAATTGTTCTCATCTTTGTAGCCATATTTATTACAACGTTTCGGCCTTTCAGTATCTGTCTATATTTCTGAGATGAGGTATTTTGTACACTATTTACATTATTCAGACTATTGTTCTCATCTTTGTAGCCATATTTATTACAACGTTTCGGCCTTTCAGTATCTGTCGATATTTCTGAGTTGAGGTATTATGTACACTATTTACATTATTCGGACTATTGTCCACATCTTTGTTACCATATTTATTACAACGTTTCGGCCTTTCAGTATCTGTCTATATTTCTGAGATGAGGTATTTTGTACACTATTTACATTATTCAGACTATTGTTCTCATCTTTGTAGCCATATTTATTACAACGTTTCGGCCTTTCAGTATTTGTCGATATTTCTGAGTTGAGGTATTATGTACACTATTTTCATTATTCGGACTATTGTCCACATCTTTGTTACCATATTTATTACAACGTTTCGGCCTTTCAGTATCTGTCTATATTTCTGAGATGAGGTATTTTGTACACTATTTACATTATTCAGACTATTGTCCACATCTTTGTTACCATATTTATTACAACGTTTCGGCCTTTCAGTATTTGTCTATATTTCTGAGTTGAGGTATTTTGTACACTATTTACATTATTCAGACAATTGTCCTCATCTTTGTTACCATATTTATTACAACGTTTCGGCCTTTCAGTATCTGTCTATATTTCTGAGATGAGGTA